GTCCAGAGTGTTCCCTCTCTGGTAACACAGCCTATGCTGTCTCAGTGCACAATTGTAAGAACATGGTCTTCATTTTTCTACTTGGCATTGATGAAAAACTTGGACATGTATGACCCCATAGAGCAAAAGGAAGCTTTATCATCCCTCACCTAGTAACTGTTAAATGGTTCAGGACACTGACTGCACCCCAAGTTATTCCCCCAATTTGAATTTGTCCTTTGAGACACATGTGTATAAATCAGGATGCTGGGGGAGCAGGGACCCAGAGCTCCCCTCAGCATATTCCCTGCTTCACTACAGATACACAGAGAGTCAGGGTTCTAAGAAGATGGCCTGGAAACCTCAGCAAGAATCGTAGGAGTGTGATGAAAGGCTCTAGTTGGAACACAGCATTATGATCATTATTTGGACAAACCATGCTACTATCTGCTAATAGGGCTAGATGAAATCTGGACATGGGGTTCAACCATGTCATACCTGGGCCAGGTAGGAAGGGTTCCCTCCTCACAGGTGGTGAAAATTTCCACCAGGCTATGGGGCTTGGGCGTGGGTGGACTTGTCTCTTTCTCCCAGCTTGGATGGACACAGCCCATGTAGGTGTAAGTGCAGATGAGATGGGCCTTCCCTGAATTTTATTCAGGGGACCAGCAGTGACACTTGCCATGTAACCTACTATTATGAGCCCCATTGTGGCTGGGAAGCTGTTATTAGCTCAGTGCCTTCTAGGTGGGAGTGTGGATCTGGAGGCCTGCCCTGGCACTGGGCGTGCCTGCTTTTCTCCACAGCTGCTGCTGCCTGTCTTGATTATAAGATCTACTAGCCCTCATTGTTGAGAATCAGAGAACCCCACTAGATTGCTGTCCCCATACTGTGGTTCACAGTACTTAGAGAAAATAGTGTGTAGCCTGGAGAACAGCTTCTTTCTGCCCGTGGCCCCCTTTTGCCAAAAGGCAGCGGCTCATTAGCAATTAAAATGCTGGAGATCTTCCCCTCCCCCTGACTTAAAGCAGCTTTTGACAATCAACACATGGGAAGGCAGAGAAAACTTCCAAGTCTGCTTTTAATAAAATATACTTTTCTCATCAAAATATTTTGATAACACAGGAAAAGAGATCTATCCTCATTAAAGTTTAATGAGCATCTCCCCCTGCCGATTTCCATACGAGGATCACACACCATGCATGAGTCATCAGTGGTGGGTGCTGGGCATAGTGAACAAATTTAACTCAAACCCAGTCTCTATTGCCAGGGGAATGAATTAAGCCTGATATGTACCCGTCAAGATTAAGAACCTGGCCACTGGCCCTTGTGCTTAGGCAGCTTAGATTCAGGTGGGCAGATCTAAAATTATCCTGGAATGTTGAGATTTGCTCTGAAAAGGGAGGTTCAAGGGAACAGCTGGATTCTAGCTTCCAAGTGGCTCTATTCCTAGAGTCAAACCAGTGAGTCCCAGAAGTCAACGCTTTGGGGCAAAGACTCTGAAGAAAAAGACAGGAGACCTCTTGGGAGGCAGAGTTGGTCATGCTACAGACATGGTCATGAATTTCCACCAAAGCTTTGCTGTCCATGGAGCCAAATGACAAAGCTTTACCCACACATTCTAGACTCAATTGAAAATGGCCCTACATGCTTTTCTCTGGATATCTGTAGTCTTGCCTGGCTCCTGACCTCTAACCTAAAAAAGTCACTTCTGCTGTCTACCTCCACCGACATACTCCCTCATGCTTTTCTCTAGTATTTAGACTAGTTTCTCTGTCCATCTCTGCTGGTTGAATGTTAACTATTCATTGAAGACAGCCTATTCTTCTGGCCTAAATTCTTAATACTTCATTAAAGTGGAAATCTTCTCACTTTGCAGCACACAAGCTTTTCTGTTGGTGCTGCTACTCCTGCTTCCTATAAAAGTTCCAGTGTGAGAACTTGTGCCCCAGAAGTCACATGTACACCACAAAAAGACCTAGGATAGAGGTTTCTGACCTTCCCTAGTCAGGGACAATCATGAGCCAGTTGCTTATGAAGAGAAGCAACTACGGTAAGAGCCAGTGACATATATCAGGTGTTTATTGTGAACAAGTCATCAGACATCCTCAGCTCAGTCAACACAAAGACCCCATGACATGAGAATTTCTGTTGCCTTTCTCACTGCAGTGGGAAAACAGACTTTGAGTGACTTGGTAGGGTTATATGGGCTTTGCATGGAGAAAATGGGTTAATGGTTAAGGCTTGTGTGACAATGCCTGTTGAAAGATATTTGATTACACCGCATAAAGATATGTCACTGGGATTGGTATCATAAATCACCAAATGGCCAATAACTAGGCAGGAGGTATAGGTGGGACTTGTGGATAGAGAGAGCTCTGGGAATAAGAGGGGGTCATCACCAGCTAGACGAAGAAGAAGCAGGATGATCAGGAGAGGAGGTAAAAGCCACGAGCCACCTGGCAGCATGTGTCAGATTAATAGAAAATAGGTTATTTAAGTTACAAGAGCTACTTAGAAACAAGCCTAAGCTAAGGCTGAGCTTTCATAATTAAGAAGTCTCCATGTCATTATTTGGGAGCTCATTGGTGGGATAGAGAAAGGCTCATTACCAATGCTCATCTAGGCTTTTTTCAGACAGGCGTCACAGTAGACAGAATCAGAGCTTCCTTTTCACTCACACTTCAGGCTCAGTCAATGGCCTTGACTTTGAATGAGTTTCCTCCAGAACTAGCATCCCTGCTTCTGTCATGGAAACTAACCCAAACTAAACCCCACCAGCACTGGTTCAAGTCCTGCTCTGATCTACTAACTTGTGGAATGTGATGTCTCTGTTTCTGCCTTGGAGAGTTCGGCTACTCTTAAAGAAACGTAGAAGATATCTAAATAAATAAATAACCCCTCTAATTAATAATACCTAAAAGATCAAAGGTATCAGTTTCTTCCATGCACACAGTTTATTATCAGCGGTGCAATTAAATTCTATTTTGTGCTGTGGTCTGACCACTTCACAGCTCAGAGAGGCTTCTCCTGAGAGCTTGGCAGGGACAAGCCACTGCTTCATAATGAGGTGAGCATGAGAGCTCTGTCTCTGGTGGGAAAAGCAGAGATCTGAGCATGGGCATAGGCTCTGCTTAGCACTCCCCCTAAGAGCCCCCAAAGATACCTTTGTTATGTGGCTGAGGGAGACCAGCAGGGCCCCTGACTATGAGAGAGCCAGTGTTACTCTTGCTACTGTGGTCCCTGTGCCCCAGGCTACTGAATTCATTCTCTCAGGGAAGGACAGCACCCCTGGAGCAACCTAAGTGCCCGCTTTTCTGATTAGCATTTGTTTCTAATTCTACTCACAGAATTCTGATTCAACCTCAGCCTACACATTCTCAGTTACAGTCTGCCTCTTAAGGCCCATTGTGTAGATAGTACCAGTCACGAGGGGATCTGTGGTAAGAGGCTGCAGTTAAAGAACAGAAGAGGTATGATGACATAGACCTTCCTAGAGGCAAAGGGTATGGCATCTGTTCCACAGTGGGCCCTACACAGCTTCAGGTTTGGGTGAGTCTCATCTTGGGGTAGTTCGTGTATCATCATCTACAGAGAGCCAGACTTTGAGGAGTAGTGGCTGAGGCAGTACTCACCCTGCTTCTGTAGCCAAGCTGCTGGGGTTGGAGGCTTAGCCCTATGTCTTAATGACTTTGCGATCTTGGACAAATTTTACAGTCTCTCTGTGCTTCAGTATTTTCATGTATAAAATGGAAATGTTCGTACAACTTATCCGGAGGAGTTATTGAGTATTGAAACTGCAGTTATATATGTGATATATACTTTGAGAGCAGCTGCTGGAGCCCAGAGTGTAACCACGCAGAGTAGCCATATTGAATGCTGCACAATAGCCATTAGCTTAAAAGTGATTCACGGTCTGTGGTTCACAAGAATCAACGTTCACCTCTCACTTCTGCCCAGTGTCCTATCTCTGGAGCCACTTGGATTGTCTGATTACTTTAGGGGACTTCATGTTAGCAGGATCTATGCCAATCACTAAGTCATTTCAGAGTAGACTGCTCTCCAGACACCAGGGAAAGACCTCTAAACCCACACCTAGATGGCATAAAATGTCATTCTCCAAGGTGACCACTGGGTGCTTGGTTTCCTGCTTCCACGAGGAGCAAGTGGCTCATGTACTCGCCTGCTCCGACCTGCTCTGTCTTGGGTAAGGCTGTCTACCGATGCCACCAGAAGTCAGCCTATACTGCCGAGAAGCAGGTAAAACAGGCTTCCATTATCTGTCTTCCAAACCCATCCTTCAGGTTTGAATCTAACAACACCCTGGAGCAATATAAGAAGAAATTCCCTGTAGTACCCAGAGAGGCACAACTAAAATCATCATTCAAGTTGGCAAAAGAAGTCACAGTGACAGAAGCCAGAAAATTGGTCATCTTGATGAGTGGGGAGAGCTGTAAACAGGAAAACGCAGGAAGGAACTTTCCGGAGAGCTGGAAATCATCTATATTTGCATTCGATGGTACATGTAGTGAGTGGCATATGTATATTCAGCTATTGGTCTCCAGCTGTACACTCCAACTTGTAGCTCCTACTGTCCACAGTCACACCTCAGAGAGTGACATCACTGTCCAAAACACAGGTGGGACAATGTAGGGAGTTTGCAAGCCTGACCCACTTTATGCTGAAGGCACAGAGAGTTCTTAGTCTCTGTCTCCATTACACATCTTTATCTTCCTCCACAAGTGTGTTTATACCACAGGTTATATTTATACCCGCAGTCACATCTATATATTTAAATAAGGAGAGAAGAGGAGTGCTACATGTACGCGACTATATATAGGATGGCTTGCTTCTTTCAAAGAACAGGAGCATCCTCGCTCCATTGTGTTTTTGGAACTGACCCCCCTCGTGCACACGCTCACACACACACACACACACAGAGAGAGAGAGAGAGAGAGAGAGAGCCTGATCGCCTAAGTACTTTTCCCCATTTTCTTGTCTGAGATGAAATGCTCACTGACCTTGATGGTGACCTTGGGGATAGTCAGCACTGTGGACTTCTGCTTGGCAAGGATATCCCTGGTCTCATTGATGCGTGCTGTGACGAAGAAGTGCAGGAGGCCCTGTTCCAGAAGGTGGCTCATGTACTCGCCTGCTCTGACCAGCACCTCCTTTTTCTTGACTGGTGGGAGGAAAAACCAATAGGCTGCCATTAAGACCTGAGATGAGATGGGATCTGGCTTACCTGCACTCTTCCCTCCTCCCCACTTAGCGCCCAAGGCACCGGGAACATGGCCCAAATCAGATACAGAGAGTCAATCAGGGGCGAGCTCTCCTGCCTCTTGGTTGAAGAAAGAAATGTAATATTCAGTGAGGTCTCACCAGAGAAAAGAGTTGTCAAACTTTCCAAGCCTTGCTTTTGCTGCCGTAAAATGGAAAGCCTAAACCAAGATATTAAAAGTGGATTCAAGGAGCTTCAACCATGGCTACTTTGACTTGGATCAAGGCAATCCCAAGATGGCAGAAGAGGAACACAGAAGTCCAAGGCCACTAAAGGCTTTCAAAGCCTCTGTGATTGGGAAGACCTCTATGATAAAACACTGCTCTAGCTTTAGAGGCTGAGGATAAGCTGGGCAGGATGGCATGGAGGATGATGAGTGGTTTCACTTCTCTTCCAATCTCTATAAGGGCTGAGGATGCAGAGCTGTTTCTGGGTCCATTTGCTCTGGGGCTCTGCTTCCCACAGCCCAGGATTCTAGAGCACAAAGAGCAGTTCTTGGTGCTAGGGCTGTCCTTTGCACTAAAACTAGTGCAAAGGGTTGAACCTGGGTATGGAGCCTACTGATACTTCCAGAGACAGGTGACTGTACTGGCAAAATGGCACATTTTGCTCGCCATCAGCTGGCAGGCCCAGCAGGTAGATGCATGAGTTAGGCCTTCATCTCCCCCTACAGGGCATAGACTCTACAAACAAGCCAGAGACCCACCATCTTGGTTTTCCATGTCTGGCTTTTGTCACAGATTCTTCCTTTTTTCAGGAGTTCCCACGGCTGGCAGTTTGAGCATATGAGTGGATCATTTCAACCTACTACAATGAGTGGCAGTCTTGCTAGAGGGTGGAAAGAAGTTGGAAGCAAGCACATACCAGAGTACAGGGCAGCTTTTGACTGCCTCTGGAATGAGGGACATCCCAGGGCTCATCATGTGTAAGTAGGATACTCACACCTGGCTTACATCTATGACAACTTCCTGCTCATGGAGTCTGAGAACCCAGTGGAGGGCCCTGCCTTGGGCAGCAGTCCCCATAGCTGTCTTTTTACAGCATGTAGGTTCTCTGGCCACCTCTAGCTTTCTGATAGAGTTCTAATCTTTCCTCAATATTCTTGTATCAGGGATCTCTGTAAACCCACCCTACTGACTCTCATCCAGTCTTACACAGTCTTATACTCTCATACAGTCTTGGGGACAGGGACTCAGACAGCAGTCCCTCTATGCTCTCCTCACCTCTCTCTTTCTTTCCTTGTTTTCCTTCCATGTGCTTGGAGTTGATCTCAAAGGCGCAGACATGCTAAACATGGCACTCTACCACTGAGCTACACATCAAGCCCATACAGTTTGACCCTACATGCATCCTGGTTGGGAAACATGACTGTAGCAGTCAGGAGCCCCTGAAAAAACCATGCAGGCAAGAGCCTGAGTTCTAGTGCAAAGGACAGCTCTGACACCCCAGTCTGGCCCACAGAGTTGCACCAACAGCTGGTTAGTGCTGTAGGCTCTCTGGCCACCACACTCTGAACAGGATCTGTATTTGGATCTGATCTCAGATGTGACAAGTGTCTTATTTAGTTTGTCTCCTGAAATTTTGCCATTACAGTTGCAACCTAGTCTTTGAAGGAATACCCTGGCTTTACCTTGGCATTTGAACTCTTCCCTGTCTCCTTTGGTCCTATATCTGGATTCTTCCTCTTTGGCTCTTCTGCAATAAACTGTTCGTATGAGTAGGACTCCAAATTCCCTTTATCATATATAAGTTCAAACAAGCACATGTCTTTCACACACTATATATGGATGGCACATTTTGCTCCCCGGTGTTTCCAGGGACAGGAATAAGCAGTGGTTTTCTCCTGGCTTTTCTTGGGGGAAAGAGTTTGACTATTAGGTTTCCTTAGGATGGCAGGATTTGTCCATCTTCCCTGTACCTATCTTTGTAGAGGCTCTTATCACACTTACAGTCTCAGCCTCAGGGCTCACTTCTTCTTGGAGGCAGAGCATTCCCTCAATCACAGAACTGAAGAAGTGGGGATGTGCTTCAGAGCCCCAGAGAACAGTGGTCCTGAAATAGTCTGTTATATAAGTGCCTGTTTGCCACTGCACAAGAAATTGTTCTAGATAAAGTTTATTAAACGCGGCAAGAGAAGGAGGAATAGATTTTCACTGTATGAGTGGTAGAGATGGGAGGCTGCCAACATCATTTACGGTGTCTGGGGAAAGCCAAGGGAGACACAGGCTGGAGCTGCCTCATCTCTTCCAAAAAGCAAAGAAAACTAAATATAGCCAAGTGACAATGATAGCACCTTTGAAGGTTCTGGGTAGTTTAAGTTATTCAAATCTCCCAAGCTGACTCTAGCCCACACATTCCCTTTAATCGCCAATCTGAAAAGTCTGCCTCCCATTCTCCATAGAAAACTTGATTTGCAATAGAGGCACCTAAGAATGCTTGATTAAGTGCAGAGACATGCGATTTTGCAGAAGACCGGGATATACTTCAGATTGAAGCATGCATTTTATTGCACGCAACTGATGCCACCTAGTTTCATTAATTAGTAAACTAACAAGTACAGAACGAATGAGGTTCTCATTCCCTTGAAGTTATCTGGGAGAAGCTCTAGGTAGTCGGAGTGGGTGGAGCTGTATTAAAATCTACTTGGGCTTAGGTTGGTCCCTACATGAATGAATGACTCAGTAGAACAATATATTATGTCATTCTAGTTCATTAACTCATGTAAACCCTTCCCCCCTTTTTAATTTTTGGCTTATGTTTTGAGGGCATGCAGTCCATCGTCATCTGGAAGGCCTGGGAGTGGGAGCATGTTGCTTCTGAAGTCAGAGAATGACTTAGTTCATCCTTTAATTGGGTTAAGGAGAGAGGGAGATTGACAGGCTCCTTGTAAGGTTGAAAAAGGCTGTGCTCTATTTCAGGTGTAGGGAGACATGAGGGATTATAGACAGCTTCACTCAGGACACAAGCCTACAACTGCTAGCCCAATGTTCTTGCCCAAGGATATTTAAATTATGTTATCTTCATGACCTTGGCCATATGAACCCAACCTGAGTTTCCCTCAGGTTGGAAGGTAACAGGAATGTCAAGGCATTTCACCCCTGTCATGCATGGAGTTCCTCTGCTTCTTCCTCTCACATGTATAGGCTAATCGTGTAGACTCTACCTTCAGAACATGTCCAGATTGACTTGCTCTTGCCACTGTCAACACAACCACTGCATTTCATTCAGCTGAATGGTTGCTAGAGCATCCCAACTCATCTCCAAGCTTCATCCTTGCTCATGTGAGTCTCTTCTCAGCACAACAGCCAGCACGAGCTCTCTTATTTTTTAATTTAGAAAACTATCACTGTGTGTGGGCACGAGCATACCACAGCATATGAGCGGAGATCAGAAGACAACTCACAGGAACTGGTTCTATCTTTCTACCATGCGGGGGATGCAACTCAAGTTGCCAGGCTTGGTGACAAGTGCCCTTACTTACTGAGCCATGTCACCAGCCTCAGTATGGTTCCAAGTTAGGCCACCCTCAAAGACTTCTAAGGAAATATCCACTGGAAATAAAGCCAAAGTTTATACAAGGGCTGACATTCATTATATGATTTAAGCCCATCAATTTCCATTGGTTGTTTTTCTTCCTATTTGAGTCTGTTTTTGTTGTTGTACCAAGTTACAGAGGCTTGGAAACTTATAAAGAAAATAGGTTTAGTTGTCTCACAGCATTAGTGGCTGGAGCATCCAAATAGCATGGTGCTGGCATAACAAAAAGGGAGCTGGCTGTGTGCACAAGGGCCATGCTTGCAAAGCAACCTTGCTTTATAATAAGCTGCTCTCCCAGGAACTGACTCACTCCACAGACCAGTACCCACTCCTTCCAAGGTTAATTTGGCCCACATCTTCTAATTATCTTCCACAAGGTTCCACCTTCTCCTATGCAGTCATCACATTGAGGACCAAGCCACACATACACAAACCAGAAAGGCTCTTCATCCCCCCTTTGTTTCTCATTGAGTTCATTAGATAACTTATGATACCAGTGGCTTCTCTTGGCTGGAATTCCCTCTGTTAGGTCTCCGATCAACATCACCCAATGAGATAGAATTTTTTATTCTCTCATGATACCCTCAGGGCCAGCATGCCTCTCCTTCTTAATCTGCTTTGTATCTTCATATTATACATATAACCGGGTGATACACTTGTTAGCTTGCTTGGTTGTTTCTTGCCTTGTTCATTTACAAGACCAGAAAATCCACCAAAATGCATATTCCCCTGTGTCTAGCACATGCTAGAAACTGGATGCTCCCATTTGCTTTCTGTTGCTGTGTTAAAACAGCATGGCCAAAAATAACTTAAGGACAAAAGGGATATTCGGCCACAGTGGGGGGCAGCCAGGACAAGATCTCGATGCAGGACCCTGGAGTCAGGGACTGAAGCAGAGACCATGAAGGAATGCTTCTTACTGACTTGCTTCCTCTGTTTATGAGCCAGCTTTCTTATACAGTCCAGGACTAGCAACTCACAGGTGGCACCACCCATACCTATATTAATTAGCAACCAAGAAAATGCCCCACAGACATGCTTACAGGACAAACTGATGTAAGCAATTCCTCCTCTGAGGTTCCCTCTTCCCAGTTATGTCAACCTGAGTAGCAAGATTAGCCTTGCAGGGAGTGAAGGTATTGTTCCCATATACAAATGAGGAGAGAAAGCCCAGATGGCTCACACACCTAGAGTGCCTGTTCCCAGTAAGCATGAGAGCCCTTTCCCCTTCAGTTCTTCATGCTGACTATTCTTTCAGTGAGAAGTTTTTCCTCCCCATTTTGGGGGTGAGGTGGGGTGGGAGCAGGGGTGGGAGCCAAATCTTCTAGTTTCCATAGAAAATGCCTTGGTGATTTCTTGACTGCTGGCTACATCACCAAACCTAGTAATACTTGTCTCCTTCAATTTGGGTTTCTTGGAATCTGAATTTTCAGTAGTTTTTCATTTTCTCTGGGAACACGTCTCTAGAGGACAGGGCTTAGACAGCTATAGCATGTAGGGAGCTTGAGAACACCAGAGATGTGAGATTGGCTTGTTGATTGGGTGTGGTCTGCTAGTATGTCTCTGAGTTAGGAACAACAGAGATGTGTGATTCGCTCATGGGTTGGGTGTGGCCTGCTTGCCTGTCTCTGAGTTAGGAACAGTATTGCTTTTGTACTCTTTTTTTCTTTTTTCAGAACTGCATGTCAGGTCCAGAGACCCAGTGCCCCAAACTGTCAAGTACTTTCCAGTTTTCTCCGACTCAGCTCTCTGCCTACAGAAATTCTCCTTGTGTCTATCTTGAGGCTAAATATTGAGCCCATCAAACACCCTCAGGAAAAATGAGACCGTTCAAAATTGCAATCCCTAATGCAGGCTTCAGCATGTCCATCCTGACCCTGCTTCAAATATACTAAATTCTTAGGGCGATGAAATGGCTCAGAGAGATGAAAGGGAGGCAGGGGGATGGGCAGGAAAGAGACTCCACTAGGGATGGCTCTGAACAGACTCTGGGGTGGTACCTTGTATCGCTCAGGCTTCTTCTCCAAGTGATTGTCCCTGATTAGGCTGATCAGGTACAAAACCAGCTATGAGGAGAGGAACTGGGCATGGCTTAGTGGATAAATCTCTTGCTCCAAAGCATAGGACCAGGGACTAGCTCTCTAGCACTCCATGGTAGAGTTGAACAGGCATGGTAGCTGCCTGTAACTGCAAGCAGAGGCAGGATCCCTGGTGCAAGCTGGGAACTTAGGGTAGGCAGGACTGGTGAGCTGTAGGTTCATTGAGAGACTCTGCTTCAATATATAAGGTGCAGAGAAATCACAGAAAATGCCTGAGGCTGATGAAGCCTGTGTGGCAAATTGAGATCTCAGATGCAGATTCTGTCTCAGGAGGTCTGGTGGGGCGTAAGGCTTGGGATGCTGGTGGTTCTGTGGGTTCATGGGCCACACTCTAAATATCAAAGAGGATAGGTATTATTTAACTTTCCAATTTGTGGGGCTTCAGGCTTAGACTATTTCAGCATTTATTTCTGTTGATGAGACACCAAGGTGAGAGGATTGTGTGTTTTCTAAAACTCCCCCTCAATGTGTCCCCTAATCCTGGGATCTGGTGAGACCCAGAGCTCTGACAGTGTTTACAGTGAGATAGAAACAGGTCCTGGAAAGACCAACATATTTGTTAGCTTACAGGAAAAGGGCTCCAGGGATATTTCAAACGCCTCATTCTTGAATTCTTCCTTGGAGACCCCGGTGTAGAATGTGATGTTGCCCGAAAGATAGGCCGAGACGTTGTACAAGTTGGTGCTATTGTTATGGAAGGTGATGGTGACCTTGAAGTCCTTTCCCAGCACAGCGTTTTCCACCTCAAAGTCCATGTCCACATCATTCTTTGGTTTGACAACACCTTCAGTGTTGAGGGCCTTTTTGGCTCCGTACATCAGGGCAGTTTCAAGGGCCAGCCTCTCTTCTTCTTGACCTAGGAGAGATCCACAGGTAATGACGGGAAAAGGGAAGTAACTCTCCATTGAGAAGACATTGACCTAAAAAGCACTCTGTGTCACCCTTGCTCATGGCCTCTGAAAGCCCATCAACCTTTCTGGGAGGTCAGTGCAATCACCATCACTGTGTTAGGGTCTGCAAAATCAGGTTTCCAGATAAGAAGTGGCTACTCAGGCTACCAGAATACTTAGTGGATGGGAAAGGTATATCTGTTATTAGGGCTACTAAGGGGTTTGCACCAGGGGTTCATTCTCTAGGGCCATTATGTCTGGGCTCGGCAGGTGCCAATTTGCTTCCTTCCTCAAGTCACAGCCATGGAGTTAGAATTTAGGGTTCACTAAGTAAACCCAAACAGGATGTGTCTCCCTCAATCCTCTTCCCGTTTAATCCTTTCCATTATTTCTTTCTTATGCTGACTTTGGGGCTAGGAGGGGGGTCCTTCCTTGCCCTTGCATACCTCCTGCAATGCCCACAACCCTCAAAGTGCACTGCTTCAGGGTATTAGGCTCTGGCAAGCTGTTAAACTCCGTCTGCCCAAGGACTCCTGGGTCAGATCCCTGGAGGAAGCCTGATTCAACCTGCTGAAGATGCACAGTTTTCCTGAGCTCACAAAGAAGAAGCAGAGAAGAAACTCTACAGCTTTGTTACCTCAAGATCTCCCAGTTGCCTCTCAGTGAGCACCAAGTTTTGGGGCACCAGTGTTGGGATGTTATTCTGTTGTAACACAAACTGAAGGGTAGGTACTGGTTGGGCAGTATGTCTTATGGTGAGTTTCCAGAGGAATGGGAGGGGCAACAGAGAGAGAGAGAAAGGATCTTCTCTAGCAAGAAGGAGAGAAAGGGAAGAAGGAAAGAAGAGGCAAGCATGGTGGTGTGCAACTGTAATCTTCACACTTGGGAGGCTGAGGCAGGAAGATAGTTCAGGGCCAGCCTGGGCGTCCTGCTTCAAAAACCAAAGACTGGGGATACAGTTCAGTGAAAGAACACTTGTCTAGCATGAACAAGGTACTGAGTTCCATACCCAGCTCTTCAAACACACACACACACACACACACACACACACACACACACA